CTTTGAAATATAACTGTAAATTAGAGTACATTGATCTGGTGAACATGTCAACAATTATTATTTATATTTATTTTACATTCGGCTGGCTTGAGCAATCTAAGTTCAACACTTCAAAGAGTGTAAGAAACAAAAACATAACCTACATAATTTCATTCTTACTTATCACATGGGTAAAAGTTAAATATTTTCGATAAAATATGTACGTGAAAATGTTGACAAAAGTAAAAAAGAAAGTACAATTTGCCATTCATTTATTTTTAACAAATCAGATATTAAATGGGGCTTCCTTCACACCCAAATTGATGATAGCAAAGTTAAGAAGTTTGTAGACTAAGCTTGCCTTGTAATGGAATTTGGAAAATATTAATAAGGCTTGCCTTGTCATGGTTCTTTATGGATTGATTAGCACTTAATTGTTATTTTAATAAAAAATAATAATCTTTCTAATAAATAAGGTCCTCAATACTTTATAAAATAAACATCAAATAAAAAAGTACATATATTTATTATTTAAAAATATAACATAATTTAATAATTAAAGAATTATAGGGACAAGTATTAAAAGAATTTAAAATTGTTCATATAAAATCTGTGGGTGGTATAAGCCTTCAGTTCAGAGCCAGCGGGTCCAATGGTGAAGCTTTCTTGCTCAAAGTCATAGTCTCACGTAAGAGTATATCTCTAACGTACCATTCAAAAATGTTAGTTTGTACTGTGCAGCTCACAACTTTAGAAGCTCTGTGCTTTGCCGCTCTTTTATTTACGACTTTTTTGATGATATATAATAAATAATATTTTATTAAAATTATAGTTTTTAATATTATTGTATATTTTTAATGTGTTTTATTATAATTTTTTAATAAAAATTATTATACATTTTGTTAGATTTCATTAGGTTTTTAAAAATTACTGTACCAACTATAAATTTTGAAAATCTTAAATTTGAGATAGTTTTTTAATTTATTTAACATTATTTATTGAGTGTCAAAGTATTATTTTTCTTTTATCCCCTCTTTTATTATTCAAGAATGTCTTCTTTCGGAGTAAAATTTTTTAGAAGTTTTTATTAATCTTTAATATAAGACTATTTACAAAGTCTTAGAAATAGTTATAAATTAAGAGTAAACTTGAAATGATATAATTAATTTTTCAAAAATTAATACATTAAATATTTTTAATAATTTTTCTTAATATACACGATTTAATTAAAATATATTTATGAAAAAGCATCGGAGGAGTAAGGAGTAGCATGAAAGAATTCATAATTCTTTGCTTTGAAGAATATCATGAAAATGTGTGTAAAAATAATCTAAATAGTTACGAGAACTATTTGTGAATGGATTTTAAAGAGTTAGTGCAGATCACACACTCTCGATTGAATCCAAAAATGAACCCACAGTGATTCCTGCATGGCGGGGGTTTGATGGCAGAGAATGGTGGTTCTGGTTTCACTGTTTCGCAGTGGTCATGCAGGGGGTCATGTAGATGCCTTCTACTTTTCTTTTTTATTGTCAAGACGTTTGAGGTAATTAATTTCTCAAAAATTTAACTATTTTTAAAACAACTTGGTTTGTCTCATCTAAAAGATATACATGTAAAAAAATAATATTATTAAAACCCTTTTAACAAACCCTAAAATCTTTCAAAAGATTTATAATGAAAGGAGCCTGAGCAGATAGTGGGTGTGATTTGGCCAATCCGTAATATCTGTGAAACGGTGGTGGAAATGGCGCGTAGTTTGTTTTGTCAGGTCATAGGAAGGCTCATAGTTTGGAACACATTCAAAAGTCATTGAGTTCTTTTTGTTTTGTTTTGTTTTTTAATCTTCATAACGCGCATTTCTTCTTTGTTCACTCAGCTTTAGTAGTTGATATGGGTTTAATTAAATGGATTTGGTATGGGGAAGTTGTGAAATAGACGAAGATTACATAATTTCTAATCCTCAGAAAAAAACAATTAATCGTTCCTTGGTTTAGTAACGAACATATTTTTAAACATTTAATTACAGAGGATACGTATTCAGCGCCATTTTTTTTAACGGGAAAAAGATATTACTGAATGAGTAGAAGGGTACTTAACCTTGTACATTAGATCGGTACGTATAACAAACAGTATGTACAGAGAACTTAAGAAAGAAGCCTAATACACTCCAAAAGATTAACACACCAGTGGGAAAAATATAAACCAGACCCTCCCAACTTTGCTGCAGTCCAATTCCAAAATATGATTTTAATCATACATCAATGAAGCCACTAAACAAGAGGAACGTTAATGAAGTTTTTGCACCCAGAAATCTAGCTACTAAGATGCCCTATAAAACGAGGCATTTTGTTAATAAAGGCAAGTTAAACTCTTCAAAATGACGTTAATCTAGCAATATTTCAAATGATATTGGCGAAGTAATTAGATCAAATGACTTTCTTGAACAGGATCTACTTGTACCAGTATAAGTACGGGTGTTTTTTCTTAGCACAAATTCTTCGGTGGAAACTTCTCAACTAGTAGTGCATACAAATCAGTCTTGATTCGATTGTGTTAGTTGAAGTTGCACCAGCCATGCCATGAGTACGTACATATATATATATATATATATATATATATATATCTATATTACCCCGTCAAATATTGATTTGCATGACTCATATTTCTGTTGACGTAAGTGGATAAATATTTGTGTAGAACTTGTTTTAAGTATACTAAATCAATCAACAACTGACATGTACGTTGTCACGGAGTGTTAAATAAATAAATAAAACTTTTTATCGTGTAATAATTTGTCTATTATGATTAGTTTAGTCTATCCAATTTGTTCAACCAAGGTACGCATGCAAGAATATATCTCGTTAACAAATTAGCGAGATGCGTATTTTAACATATAGGCCATGAAATTTTACACATAATCAAAGGCTGATTTTCATGTGTAAAATAGATGTTCCAGCCCAAAATAATTTTATCATAAAATAATATATGAAGAAGAAAAGTATCATACGTCTTTCATTTTATTTTTCTTTCGACAAAAGTCTATGTATTGATTTCATTTATTAAAAAAAAAAAGGAATAACCTAGATATATATATATATATATATAAATACTTTGATTCTTAAAATAATCAAAGTATTGGACAAAAGTTGGTGTAAAGGACAGTATAAAGCTCTAATTACTCACTAAATTAGGTGGCAACACAATAACAAAAAGAAAAATTAATAACCGATACCCTTTTGATTTTTACAATCCTAAACAAACAATAAATATACAGTCGCAAAGTTTATTACAACAATTTTTACATTTTTTTTATTTAACACTTATGTATAGCAGAGTTTTGGGTCTCAATTTGTCACACCTATTTATTTTCTTTACACTACATTTTCAAACTGATCTCTTGTATTTAATTTTTTATATTATCCCGGCACAATTTTTTTTATACTTATATATATGATATATCTATTAGTAGTAGGATGGAAATAGGGTAAGTTGGGCAACAAAAAATTACAGCTTAATCTTTTTAAAATTTAACTCGACTTAACTTATATAAATAATAAATTTAATTTAAATTTTTTAAAAGGCTTAATTAATTAAATAAGTTAGAACTTAAAAAAAATTTATTAGACCTATTAAAAGAACTTATTTAAAATTCATAAATTGTATAATAATATATTAAATAATTTTATATAAAAATTATAATATAATATTATATTAAATAAATTAAATTTTAAAATAAATAAAATTTTAAATTAAAAACTTTAATTTTTTTCATTAAAGTTAAAGAGTATTTTTACTATTAATCTTTCTTATACGCGTAATATATGTTAAAGTCTTTTGTATTATTATTTTTTAATCTTTCTTATACACGTAATATTAATTTACATTTATTCTATCTCAACGATGTTTATTATTGATTTGTCGCATTTATCATCTTCTTGAATATTTTTTTATATTATATGTAATTTTTTTTTACTAATTTTTTCCTTATTTTCAAGTTAACAAAATATTTTCTCTAACAATAAAATAATTTTTTATTTGAAAGTCTCACTATGATGTAGATGATTAAAAAAGCTAATAAACTAAAACATGCTTTTAAAATAGTCAGGTTAAACTTAATAAAAAGTTTATAACAAAAAATAAGTTAAATTTAGACTTTAAAATTGTTAAATAGATCAGATTTATTTATATAAAGTCTAACCTAATTTATTTTCATTCCTAATTTAGTGTGTTTAAGACACTTAAAAATGTATTAAGGATAATTATTATTCCCAAATTTGTAGTTCTGTGCAATAATAAACAATTAGCTGATAGCACAAATAGATATCGAATTACTTAACTACTTGGGCTACAAACCTGTTCTATAAATAAATTTTCATCAACTAAAGATGCACTTGATTAGGACTAACGCAAATCTTCTGTAAGTATGAGCTATTGTAAAAATAGATAACGTATATGATGCAAATTAACTTTAAATTACAAAATTATGGCGTAGCAATTTCGAATTAGGGACAGCATTTCTGCTATTTCATATTTTGATCTCAGGTGCGGCATTTCAAAAGCACTAGAAGAGTTACAAACTAAACAAATTTTAGCAAATGTTCAAGGTTTTTATGTAAGAAGCACGTTCGAGAACCAAAAGCTACAGCCAGAGGGAGTCTACTTGGTGTTTAGGCGAAATATTTTCTGCAAATGCAACATCTTGGCATGATTCGTAAATAAGATTAGAGGTCACAATTCACCCATCTAGGGTGATTTTCTTTTATTCCTTACAGTTAATAGAACTAAGACATTTATGGAAGACGTGCAACAGCAGGGAGTTGGTTATTGTTCTTAATTAATTATCATTACTTACCCGTAAATTTTATTATTAAATTTATAATATAAATCACCATTTTAAAAGATATTAAATAAATCCTTAAATAAGTTATTTATCTTAAAACTTTCTAGACGTGATTTTGTTTTGTTTTCTTATTCTAATCTGTATGACAGAAGATTTAAGCACAAAGAAAAACTTATTGTAGCCACAGATAAACCCACTACAGTTGTCATTACAATATGGTTGCCGAAAAGGAAATTGAAGTTATTACACGGAGGCATAGAGCCTTTATTTTTAAGAAGTATTGCTGAAGGGGCAGATTGTACTTCACATCTTAAAAGTACTTCCTAAACGTGAACAAAAACTTTATATGACAAAAGGCTGCTGTAACTTTGAGTAGACCAAAACATGTGACGTTGACGACAGGTTATTACTTTTTATTGTATGGAGGATAACTGCCATAAGGTGGAGGATTGTAACCCGGTGGCTTTTCCAGAGGTGGTGGCGTCACCAATGGAGGTGGCTCATAAAATGGTGGTTTCTCGTGGGGAGGTTTGTAAAATGGTGGTTTCTCGTGGGGAGGTTTGTAAAATGGTGGCTTCTCATGTGGAGGCTGGTACACTGGCGGTGGCTTCTCATAGGGTGGTTGATACACTGGTGGTGGCTTCTCATAGGGTGGTTGATACACTGGCGGTGGCTTCTCATAGGGTGGTTGATACACTGGCGGTGGCTTCTCATAGGGTGGTTGATACACTGGCGGTGGCTTCTCATAGGGTGGATGATACACTGGTGGTGGCTTCTCATAGGGGGGTTCTACTGGTGGTGGTTTCTCATAAGGGGGTTCAATTGGAGGTGGTTTCTCATAAGGGGGTTCAATTGGAGGTGGTTTCTCATAAGGGGGTTCAATTGGAGGTGGTTTCTCATAGGGGGGTTCAATTGGTGGTGGTTTCTCATAGGGGGGTTCAACTGGTGGTGGTTTCTCATAAGGGGGTTCAACTGGTGGTGGTTTCTCATAGGGGGGTTCCACTGGTGGTGGTTTCTCATAAGGAGGTTCCACTGGTGGTGGTTTCTCATAAGGAGGTTCCACTGGTGGTGGTTTCTCATGAGGAGGTTGGTACTCTGGTGGTGGCTTTTCATGGGGTGGTTTCTCATGAGGTGGTTGGTACTCCGGTGGTGGCTTCTCATGAGGTGGTTGGTACTCTGGTGGTGGCTTCTCATGTGGAGGTTTCCAATGAGGTGGCTTTTGATGTGGTGGTTTCTCATGATGAGGAGGCTGGTACATTGGTGGTGGCTTTTCATAGGGAGGGTAATATGGGGGCTTGTATATTGGTGGTGGTTTCTCAGTTGGTGGAGGCTCATAGGTTGGAGGAGGCTCATAGGTTGGTGGACTTGGTTCATATGTGGGTGGTGGTGTCTCAATTGGTGGAGGCTCATAAATGGGTGGCTTGTAATTAGCCAACACTGGAGAGGTGGTGAGAACCACCACTCCAAGCAGGAGCAACACTAGTGCATGTGTTCGACTCATGTCTTAGCCTGTGATGATGAAAAGTGGAACCAATGAGCAAGTATTTATAAGGAGAGAGACATTGGAAATTTTTCTGTGGAGGTCATCAATCTTTTGTTATTTAATTTGTTATATACATGATATTAAAATCTGCAAGTGAAGTCAAAATGTAGTAGGTGTAATTTGTAGATCTCCAAAAGAATTACGCACCCCGGGATAAATTTCCACCAACTTAGGTTTAATTGACTCTTAGATTATGTTATTAATAATAATCGTGCAAAAACACTCACAAGTTTTCTTCCTATGCAGAAGTTCAAATAATGTCTGTGTAACTAAAATATTTTATCTAAAATTATACGCAAATATCAAATGAATTTAGTTACATTATAGTTTATGGAAATTAGGTAAATGTTCCCCAAGGTTTAAATATCTTTATTGACAACAAAAGAATTGTTTCGATAAAGCCTGTGTATGTTTAAATTATTTTTCATTTTTCAATATGATCTGACTGAACATTAAAATGTAGAATGTTAACGATGAATGTAGCTGATTAGAAACTTTTAAGCGTGGATTTGGATAAGTATTTTTAATTAAATATTTATTTAATCAATTTTTTACATGAAAATTTTGATAATAAATCTTATTCTTTTATTAACTTTAATTTTATAAACAGTTAATAATAGTAAAATTTTATTAAAAAAATATTTATTGTGTTTTACTGTTTTTATAACTTAAATAGAATAACTGTACAATTTTTTATAAATTTTTTTTATTTGTAGATACTTAAAATTATTTTATTATAATATTTAGAGTTTAGAGTTTTTTTAGAATTAAAATAAATAGATAAATAAAAAAATAAAAATAATATTTATTTTTACAAATTCAAATAAAATTTTTCTAAACTCTTTTAAATACTTTGTAAATCACGCCCCAAAGAATTGTTTCTGGCAAAGAATATACGTAATTTAAAAAAAAAAAAAAGTAATAAATCAGTGGTGTAAAATATAGGATACACATTGCGTTTATAATTCGAACGGAACATGAAGCAATGGAGATAAACGGAAGCGATCGATCAATGCTTGTATACCTGCGAACAAGTCTCCGGTTTGCAAGACACGTATGTAAAGATTACCACAGAATTACAGAAAGTATGTACTGACTTTTATGTGAGATCCTTTTCCACAAACTTTGCGGATTTATGTAAATGTATATGTATTATTTTAAAAAATAACTATCAAACAATTTTACAATTTTGCATATAATAAACTTTTTCATTTTTAATTAATGTTTCTAAGAAACCCGTTAATATTTTTATTTTATTTTTAGCACTTTCATTTAGTTCTATGATAAACAAATGATTCCAAATTATTTAATAAAGCTGTTAACTTGTCATTAAACTTCATTTAACAATGACATGTTACTGACATTTACACGTTTCTGTTCACCTTTAAGAGTATTTTTTTTTAATACAGCAATCATTTTCAAATTCCTAGCAGTGCAGCTTGTTTTAAAATCAAGATGATCCAAATTATTTTCCAACATAGCCTTATTTATTTCATTGCTTATAACGATTTATTTTATTATTATTATTATTTTTTTGCTTATTTTATTGGTGCTATCTTTCTATATTATAAAAATTAAAAGAGGGTGGTTTTCAATATATAGATACAAATTAATATTTAGTTTAAATTTTATTTTAAAAATAATTACTTATTTTTATCAAAATTTAAAAATGACTTTTAAAAAATATTTTTTAAATAATCACAACCAAATATGTGTTAAGACTTTTTTTTTCCTTTAAATAAACTGATGGACTTATAAGTGTCGATCTTAAATTAGTAACAACAACATGAGAGTGGATAATTAATTAAGACTCATTTTTTTTTCTCCCGTATTACCTTCCTTTCCTTTCCTCACTTTTGTTTAGATTATAAGTATTTTTTATTAAAAATAATCATGTTTGTCCACATTAAATCATACATAATATGAGACTATCTCTTTTATTAGATATATTTTATATAAAAAATTAATAACATATAAATTAAAAAAGTTTAATATGTATCGTTTGAACCAATTACTCGTTAATTTATCCCCCTCTCATATTGGTTGTAGAATTTAGTTTACAATCTTCAAAGTAAAACAGGTGTTTACAATTAAACACAATTTTTTAAAGATTAAAAACATTGATAATTTTAAAAATGATTAGTTTTTACTATCTCAGGTTATATCTTTATCCAATAATTTAAATCCGTTATAAAGGTAAAATTATCTTACATAATATTCCCAAATATGCAACTATTACATGAACGGTGCATTTTTTTTTTAATAATATTTGTCCCTATAAATTTATTTAATAAATATATATTATAAAAATCTCAAAAAAATAGTTCATTTGAAAATAAAAAGTATATATCAAATAAAAATATACGTCGCCCCTGAAGCAAAAGTTTTCTTCACAGAAATTGCAACAACGTCAATTCTCACTTTCATCTATATATACATAAAAAAAATCATTTACCACCAAGATGCAAAAGGTTTTTCTTTTTTTTCCTTTTCTAATTTTATGTTAAACCTGCATTTTTTATCGATCGGGTAAATTGAATAATGCACCCTCACATCCTTGACCAATGGATTTGCCATAAAAGTTATCACGAGAAGACGATGGAATCGGAAAAGGAAAAAAATATGAGGAGAGAAAAGTTTTTTGGATGAAAATGAAAGACAAAAAAAAATTATTTCTTAATTATATTATAAATTTATTATTTTTGTATAGATTTATTTTTATGATGCTAATTTTTTACATTTAATTTTCTTAACTTGTCAATTATTTAAATTAATTTTACATCTTAAAATTTTATCAAATAATTAATAAAAATATAATATATAATACCTCAAGAAGCGAGAATTCGTCGGTGCAAGACACGACAAAGGCAAGATGAAAGGTAGATTCAACTTTTCGAGAAAACTTAGGAAAGAAAATTAAAGGAAACAAGGGAAAGTGAAAGACAATTAAATAAGACATCTTGCTCAGCAGGACAAAGTCGATGTAAAGGAAATCGATAAGAGTAAACCTATTTTAGTTTTTGAAATTACAAAAAACTATTCTTTTAATTTCAAATTTTATGGAACTCTTATTTAAATTTTTATTTTTGTAAAATATTATTTATTTTAACATTAAAAATATAGTAAAAACAAAAAAATGTAAATGGAAAATTTAAAATTGACATGAATTTTCTCTCTCTGTATATGTGTTAAACTAATTACTGATCAGTAGCTCATTTAGAACGTGTTTAGATTGATTGTCAAAAATACTATTTTAATGATTGATTATATTTGTGTTGTATTCTTTCTTAATTGATTATAATAAAATCCAATTTATGTTTAAATATACTTATTAAAAAATTTATCAAAATTTACTTTGTTTAAATTGTGAGAATATATATCCTTTTATAAAAAGAAGAAGAAGAAGAAAGAAACATTCTACACAATGTATTGTACGGGAAAATTTGTGTAAAATAATTATATATTCCCTACCAAACAAGGACCTATACCTTTGTTAGAACTTATCATTCTCTTTTTTTTTTTTTTTGTCGACTTATCATTATCGTTTTTCTCTGTAATTTATTGTATAGATATATTGGTGTCCTGATATTGGCGAGAGATTATCAATTTAAACATGTTCAAACAAACTATTCATCTAGTGTTTAATTATTCTAAAGTGTGAGAAGCACTTTAAAGGATAAAATGTAAGGCAATAGTCATTGAAAATGAATAAATAAAATGATTATGATAATAATAATAATAATAATAATAATAATAATATATAATATAAAATTATTAAAATTTAACTGTTGATTTTAATCAAACCATTGTGAATTTTTCACGTTTAGATGATAAATTAAGTGCATATCGATCAGTAACTACTGATTAAAAGAATAACGGTTTAAAAATTAACAAAATATAGTTGCCTAAATAAAAAATGATAATATTATTAAAATCTCAACTATTTGACTTTAATCAAATCTTTGTAGATTTCTCTTTTATATCAAACCTTTTCTTTTATTGGAAATAAGATAACTTCTAAAGTTAAGGCATTACTTTAGACGGATTGTAACCATTAATTATAAAATAATTTTTAATAATTTCATAATTTATTATACATATAAATTTATTTTGTGATAATTTCAATAGTCTTATTAACTTTTACTTAATAAAAATAACTTTTTTCTTTGAAATATATTTCTCATGTTTTAAATAAGTTAAATTAAATTCATATCCAACACTTGCTGCGTGATTGGCTCTAAAAGATGAGTCCATTCACATATGTAATAATATCTATTTATTATTAATATGAATTCTCTTAGATTCGAGTGCTGGCTAACAAGTGTTTGAAAATTTGAAAGTTTCTTGACCTTTCGCAGTTAACAAACAAGACTGCCTATACATGCTCCAATTTTTTTTCCAAAGATTAGTTAACATATCATTTTCTCCGACACAACATACATGCATATCTAACAATGGCTATATTCTTTAAAGTTTTTGACGAGGATGGAGTGAAGTGATTTATAAAATAAAGGGTTAATTTAGATTTGTGTGCATTAAAATATTCCCAAAACAATCGTTGAAGATTAATTATTTTTTAAATAAAAGATCATCATACTTTATATAATCTCTCTCAGTAAAATTTTTTCCTTAAGGATTTATATAGATATATACACCAACTTTATTACGTTGGAAATACTGTGCCCAAATTTAGCAGCATTAATAGATCCTGTAGTGAAATCCAAATTTGGCCAACGCAACATGCTGAAGGGGTTGTAGCACATTACATATAAACATCATTCCATATTTTTATATCGCTCTTCTTTGGATTTTCTTTCTTGCAATGACAGGAGGTCCAAAAGAATATGATTCATGAATTTAAAATTTCAAATACTAGTCAGTTACGTGCAAGTAAAAAACCCTTTACTAGCTATTACCAAAATTTTAATTAGATTCTCACGATTAGAGATGGAAACAGCTTGCGTTAA